GCCACCGTGCGCCCCCGCCGCCCGGGCGCTCCCAGAAGAGGCCAAAGTTTGCCGCGGCGGAGAGTTGCAGCCCGCGCCGAGAGCTCCGGGGGCTTCTCTCGCTTCCCGGTATTGTTCGCAAAGTTTGCTCCTCTCCTCCGCGGCCCCACCTCGGCGGAGGCCGGGCGCGGAGAGCAGGGCCGGGGGGCGCGGTGCGCACCGCTCGGGCCAGGCTGGGCGGGCATGGGCGGGGGCCCGAGCGGGGACGAGGAGCCGGGGCCAGCTGCCCGAGCCCGAGCCCGGGAACGGCGGCTCTGAGGGGAGCGGACCTCCCCGCTAGGGCGCCTCCGACGCCACCATGCTGCGCCCGGGCCCCCGCCTGTGGCTGGTCCTGCAGGTGATGGGTTCGTGCGCCGCCATCAGCTCCATAGACATGGAGCGTCCGGGCGACGGCAAGTGCCAGTCCATCGAGATCCCGATGTGCAAGGACATCGGCTACAACATGACCCGCATGCCCAACCTGATGGGCCACGAGAACCAGCGCGAGGCCGCCATCCAGCTGCACGAGTTCGCGCCGCTGGTGGAGTACGGCTGCCACGGCCACCTCCGCTTCTTCCTGTGCTCTCTGTACGCGCCCATGTGCACCGAGCAAGTCTCCACCCCCATCCCCGCCTGCCGGGTCATGTGTGAACAGGCCCGGCTCAAGTGCTCCCCGATCATGGAGCAGTTCAACTTCAAGTGGCCCGACTCGCTGGACTGCAGCAAACTCCCCAACAAGAACGACCCCAATTACCTGTGCATGGAGGCGCCCAACAACGGCTCGGACGAGCCCCCCCGAGGCTCGGGCATGTTCCCGCCGCTCTTCAGGCCGCAGCGGCCCCAAAGCGCGCAGGAGCACCCGCTGAAGGACGGGGGCCCGGGGCGCGCCGGCTGCGACAACCCCGGCAAGTTCCACCGCGTGGAGAAGAGCGCGTCGTGCGCGCCGCTCTGCACGGCCGGCGTGGACGTTTACTGGAGCCGCGACGACAAGCACTTCGCCGTGGTCTGGCTGGCCGTGTGGTCCGTGCTGTGCTTCTTCTCCAGCGCCTTCACCGTGCTCACCTTCCTCATCGACCCGGCGCGCTTCAGGTACCCCGAGCGCCCCATCATCTTCCTCTCCATGTGCTACTGCGTCTACTCGGTGGGCTACATCATCCGCCTCTTTGCCGGCGCCGAGAGCATCGCCTGCGACCGCGACAGCGGCCAGCTCTATGTCATCCAGGAGGGCCTGGAGAGCACGGGCTGCACGCTGGTCTTCCTGGTCCTCTACTACTTCGGAATGGCCAGCTCGCTGTGGTGGGTCATCCTCACGCTCACCTGGTTCCTGGCTGCGGGCAAGAAGTGGGGCCACGAGGCCATTGAGGCCAACAGCAGCTACTTCCACCTGGCAGCCTGGGCCATCCCGGCCGTGAAGACTATCCTGATCCTGGTGATGCGCAGGGTCGCGGGGGACGAGCTCACGGGCGTCTGCTACGTGGGCAGCATGGACGTGCACGCGCTCACCGGCTTCGTCCTCATCCCGCTGGCCTGTTACCTCGTCATCGGCACTTCCTTTCTTCTCTCGGGCTTCGTGGCCCTTTTCCACATCCGGAGGGTGATGAAGACAGGCGGGGAGAACACGGACAAGCTGGAGAAACTCATGGTGAGGATTGGGGTCTTCTCCGTGCTGTACACCGTGCCGGCCACCTGTGTGATCGCCTGCTACTTCTACGAACGCCTCAACATGGAGTACTGGAAGGTCCTGGCCGCACAGCACAAGTGCAGGATGAACAACCAGACGAAAGCCCTGGACTGTCTCATGGCCGCCTCCATCCCCGCGGTGGAGATCTTCATGGTGAAGCTGTTCATGCTGCTCGTGGTGGGCATCACGAGCGGCATGTGGATCTGGACGTCCAAGACTCTGCAGTCCTGGCAGAACGTCTGCAGCCGCAGGTTCAAGAAAAGGAGCCGGAGGAAACCGGCCAGCGTCATCACCAACAGTGGAATTTACAAAAAATCCCAGCATCCCCAAAAAACGCATCTCGGAAAATACGAGATCCCCGCCCAGACGCCCACCTGTGTGTGAAGGGCTTGGAGGGACAGCGGGGAGGGAGACTTTCCCAGAGAGCCTGCAGCGGCTGTCAGAGCCACAACACGGTGCTTTTCTTGGTTGGTTGGTTGGTTTTTTAAATAAAAGTAAAAGAAAAAAAAAAGTTTTTACCCTGAAATTCAGGATGCTGTGATACACTGAAAGTAAAAATGTCCTTAAAGGTTTTTGTCGTGTTTTGTTTTCAGTGATGGAGAGCTCCTCCTGAAGTAGCCTCTTGTGTAACTAATTTGTGGTCAAGTGGTTGATTCCGCCCCCAGAAGAAAACTTTTGTTTAGAACCTTCTGTAAATATACATCTGTGTGTTTGAGTTAGCTTGGCTATCCATTTACAAATCAGAGAAAAGATAAGTTCTTTGCAACTTAAAGAGCCTCTGCTGGGCTGCAGGGGGGAGGGGGGGAGAGAGAGAGAGGCAGAAGAGCGAGTCCCTCTCTAGCAAGTGAGCCATCCCGGGGGGCCCACCCTCAGGAAGGCTGCCTCTAAGACAGCAACTTCTGTGCAAACAGGAAGACAGAGAAAGCCTGACAAGTCTGCACACTCCAGTGGATTCGGAGTCACTTAAAATAGACTCCAGCCCCTAGCCTTCACAAATGGTCTTTCTCCAAGGCGGAAACTTCCACCAAACCTAGCATTTGTAAATGCAAATGATGTGCAATACAGTTTTTTCTCTTTCCATGAAAATAAAAAGAGAAACAAGTATTTTGCTGTACATAAAGACAACAAAAGAAATCTCCTAACAAAAGAACCCAGAGGCCCAGCCCTCAGAAACCCTTTAGTGTTACATTTTGTGGCTTTTTAATGGAAACCAAGCCAATGTTATACACGTTTGGACTGATTTGTGGAAAGGAGGGGAAAAGGGGGAGAAAGATCATTCAGAAGCACCCAAAGAGCTTATTGACTCTTTCTCTTGTGAAACAAACGGTTGCCATGAATAGATCAAGAAGCGCTAGACCAGCAATCCAGTCTATTCTCCTCGCCATGCCAGGAAAGGTGGTCCTGCTTGCGCATATGTGTAATATATGATAGTTTTCATGCGCCACTATTTTATGAAAAATAAAATATGTTCTTTAGTTTGGTGCCGGTCCCTTGTACCTTGTGAGATTTCCCTTCTCTGTGTGCCGAGAGAATAGAGAAAACTTCTCCCTCTGTCTGTTTTTCAAGCGACTTCTGAGTGTGCATGTCTCTGGAGGTTACTGGTTATCCATATGCAATGGCAGATGGGCGGATTCAAGACTAGCAGGATAATTTAATTTCAAGTTTGAGAGGAATTCCACGCAGGAGGCATGTAAAGTTGGAAGTCCGTTCTGTGACTCTTGATAGCGGGATGTGAGGGCCTGGTTGTAGACCCATTTCATCAGGGAGCACCTTGGCTGCTAAGCATGGATACAGTGGTGAGCCTGGAGCAGCCTCCCGTGATACCTCTGGGGGATGGAGCCAGCCACGTAAGAGAGTTAAATCAGAGCAGTGTTCAGTTGACCTGCTGGGGTCGGATTGTACCTGGATGGAGCTCTGTAAGTCCGTGCACAGTGTGCTGGTAGGGGGCACCTCCAGGACGTGTTTACAAAATAGACTATAGACCTGGACGGGACCAAGTACCTGCCCAGGGTGGCGAGTCGTTAAGGAGAAGTTAATCAGCTTTGTACTTCTGTGTGTTCCATCCTCCCCTGGGTTTGCTGTTATGTAGTTGTAAGGACCTGAGGAAGGCCCAGGTTGGGCGGTCAGGGGCACGGCCAATCTCAGGTTCTAACCAGAAGGACCCAAGGGCACGGTCCAGTCCTACTGCCCTGGGAACTGATAGAATAAACCGTGCTCTCGGCGGGGTCGTGTGAAAGTCAGGCTCCAAGCTGGATCAAGAGCTTTTAAGAATTTTGAGGGTTTATTAAGCACTTACTAAGATGGACAGAAGCCCGAAGTCAGGGCAGCCTGCTTCCTGAAGAGGGTGTTTAGGAATTAAGCCTGGTGACCAAGACCACCCTCACATCAGCAACTCGAGAGCTGGGCAAAGGCAGGAGTCGGTTTTGGGGGGCTGCTTCAGGTGGGTGTGAATGCGTGTGGCACGCAGGAGCAGGGGGCTGGGGTGGTTTGGGATCAGGTTCGAGAAACACCAACTAGGTAGGCAAAGTGATTGAAGGAAAAATCCAGAATAGCTTTCAGTGCATTAAAGAAAGATTTTAAGAAATGCCCACAAATAAACACCTATCGGTTGGTTGTCCCCCGCCCCGCCACCACCAGGCCCTGAGAAGACCATATGGAGAGATTTGGGGCTCTGCCTGTGCCTGCGTCTGATGCTCTCTTTCTGTGACTCTTAAGACGAATTAAAATGACATGTTTGGAATACAGCTTTGAAAAGTCTGGAAAGATAACACTGTCAGACCGCTGCTGTGAGCGACAAAGCTGAACGTGACCCCAAAAATAGTCACTTCTGAAATCACTGGACTAGTCGACTACTTCAGATCTGCCCATGTTCAGGGGTGTAGGCTTCACACTTCGGTCCCAATGAAAACAAGTTCACTGGCAACGTAAGAGCCTTTGCCATTGTTTAGAAGGTGTTTCGGTGTGGGTCCATCCCAGACACTACCATGGCCTTGTTTACAAATGTCAAGGGACTTTTCCATGTCATTGGGCCAGGGGGGCGGGGCACGAGGCCACCTGGTCTCCCTGCCACAGGTGCACACAGCAGCAGCAGAGATTTCTAAGCAAACTGCTTCTCGGGCGCTCTCTCTAGGAGCGCAAGTCTGACCCAGGGTCACATACAGCTAAGTGAATTTTAGGAGAAGCATCAAGGCTTAAAAGTTAGAAAGCTGCAAAAGCACCCTGCTCGTCCTTGGATTCTCCTTGGCTGGAGGCAGGATTCCCAAAGGAATTGTCGATTGGCTGGATTTGGACATTTCTCAGCATTACGGCCTTAGCTCCAGGAAAATGGAAACCTATTTCCAGTGACAGGTCTGAGCAGTGAGGTCATAGTTAGGAGCCCAGAGAAAGTGAATGTCCCAGGTCACACTGCAGTCCACACGCGTTTATTCATTCCCTCATTCATGCCTTCATTCAGCAGACGGCTACTCACCATCTCTACGTGCCAGGGCCCAGGAACCAGACAGTGGGCACCTGGCCCTTGGCTTCCAGGTCACAGCCCAGTAGAGGAGACCCGCAGAGCCATAACAGGGGCGTGTGCATGATGCACCTCACATGCCCTTCTGATGTGAGGGGGAGGCACCCCAAAGGGGTGTCGACATGCAGAGAAGGCGGAAGATCCAACGTGCAGCACGTCATGGGCAGGCGAAGGTGCAGGGACACGTCGATGGCTAGAGCAGAAGTTACACACAGGGAGTGGAAATCTCCGTGAGGACCCAGACTGTGCCCAGCACTGAGCAGAGTGCCTCGGGGTAGTAACAGTATCTACGACAACAATAACGATGATAGTAATAGTTGCAGCCCACCCTGCAGAGCATTTCTTGTGTGTGGAGGGATTATCTCAGTTAATGAGCATGACAACCCATTCAGGTAGGGACTCTTATCAGCCCCACTTTACATATGAAGACCCTGAGGCACAGATAGGTTAAGAAAATTCCTAGGGTCACACAGCAAGTAAAAGTTAGAGCCAGGATAGGGACCTGGCAGTCTGATAATAGATCCTGGACCACCAATTCAATAAGTAATTGTTGAATGAATGAATGAATGAATGAATGAATGAATGACAGCTAAGCCCTTTATGCCAGTGACTGTGCTAAGGACTTGACATGTATTCGTTCGATCCGCTATCAAACCTCGGTGGTACTAGTCTCATCCCTCACATTATAGATGAGGAAACTGGAGCACAGAGAAGTCAAGGCACTTGCCCAAGGTCACATAGGTAGTCAGCAGGGAGCCCAGAATGTGAACCTGGCTGTGTGGCTCCAAACCTGTACTTCTGACCACTAGGCCTCCCTGCCTCTCTCAGTGACTCTGAGGACTTGAGGTGGATTAAATCATTTCATCTACACAGCAGCACTGCCATGCCTTTGCTCCCAGCAGGAGAGGCACGAGATCACACTGGCGAAGTACAAAGAGTGCGCTGCCAGCGTGGGGACTGAGAGGGGGGAGGGTATGACAAGCGGCCTTTCTGCAGTGGGGTGGACCGAGGACGCGGCAGTGGGGACGAGAACAGTGGGCGGATGCAGAGGCCTTAGAGGGTGGAAGCTGCAGGACCTGACTGCATGTAGCGGGGCACTGGGGGAGTGGGCGCTCAGCGATGACCATGTTCCTGACTTGGGTGCTCTGCTGACGTTCTCCAAGACAGGGAAATAGAGGGAAGGGGACGGGGCGAAGCATGCTGTGGAGAAGGAAAGATGACTGCAGTGTAGACTTTGTGTTTGAGGGGTGTCTGATGCCGCCGGGTGGAGAAGGTCAGTCTGCAGGCTGTGCTGGGGATGTGGGACTTGGGAACCAGGCCAGGAGGCAGGTGGGTGTCCAGAAATGGCCAGAGTTGGAGGAAGGGTTAATCAGGTGGGTGGGTGGGCCTCCCCAGGGAGAGAGGAGGGAGGACGGCAGACGGGGAGGAGGAGGGAGGAGGGCAGAGGATGGAGGAGGAGGGAGGGGG